AATAATAATAATAATAATAATAATAATAATAATAATAATAATAATAATAATAACAATAATGATGATAATAATAACAATAACAATGATAATAACAATAATAATGACAACAACAACAATAATAATAACAATAATAATAGTAAGTAACGGTCATTAGAAAACCGAATCATAAGTGGACGATCCAAGTGGAACAGCCGGAGTGGATCAAACTGATAAATAATTTGCTACCTTTGGAGACCGAACGGTAATTTCCGAAGTAAACACTCAGTCCAAACCGTGGAAATATGGAACGGCCGTAATTCATGAATTTAATGTAGAGAAAAAATAGCGAAATAGATTATGACGGGAAAGATAGTAGGGCTGTTAATGTGGTACAAACCGTATGACATGTTGAAAAGTCATGTAAAGAGGAATATGCAGAAGTTGGTCTGCCTGTGTTTCATCCCCTAGCTGTAAACAATACACAGTATCGGGTGCGATTAGGAATGAGAATCATCAGTACAGCCCTCTAACCACCATGTGAAAATGTTAAGTAGCAAATTTAAGAGCTGACGGCAAGTTCGGCACTTTTGCTTGAAAGCAGCTACTGGGTGGGCTCAAAAGCCAAGCAGTGCTGAAAAAGGGCAAGAAATAAACGAAAATCAATTTGGATGGGCAAGCAAAAATAACCGTTGTTGCCGAATCATAAACAATATTTTCGTATTCCCTGGCAAACAGGAAGTGTTCAAGCTCTTCCGCTAAGCCTTTGACAATTTCCAGAGTAAGCAACGCGCATTCCCTGTGATGCGACGGATACATATTATCGATAACATTGCCCTGTTCGACTTTTACTGTTCCTCGAACAAGTTCTGACTCTGTAACAGTATCCTCAATGCAGTAATAAAACTTTCATTAAGATTTTATTGAAATCCTTAATGAATAGGATGCAAACGTCCTTTTGTGTTACTGAGTTCCATACGTTAAGATAGACTCCACAGCCTTATACCTAGTTGAACCCTATCTTTTTCTTGTCTATGTTGACACTGCTTAAAAACAAAAAATGCAAAGTAATGCCCAATCAAAGGTAAATAGAAAACTAGAAATATGTAAAAATTTGGTAAACCCAAGCAGGAATGCATCACGATTGCCGGTGCAATTATGCGTTTTACCACTAAATTTGAAGCAGTCAAGTCGTTAACTGTACTAATGGTTATTGCTTTAAATTTACCTTGCGCACTCATCAGCGCAAATCAACACATATTTCGCATAAGGGAAAATGAACAATTTTCTTTTAACGATCTTTCTTCGAAAATGAAAGATCGTTAAACGAAAACTGTTCCGAGCTGTTCAGTGAGCAATTTTTCCACAAAATTTTCAACGTGCCTGCATGTGAGAACCATG